CGGCCCCGGCGAGTCCCGTGCGCCGCGCTGCGCCGGAGCCTCTGGAGGCTGGAGGCAGGAGCGCTAGGAAGGCTGGTGTGGCCGCTCGCTGGGCCACATGATTTTAAAAATCTCAACTGCTGTTTATTCTTTCTGAGGCGCGGAGCTCGGGCGCTGTTTCGGAGTTTGTCCAGCGCCAGGAATGTGGTGTGACGATCACCTACTCCTCCAACCTGGCAGCCGAGTTTGCAGCGCTTTTTGGCAGGTTGGGGGTGGGGCGCGGGAAGGCGAGGAAAAGTGGAGACTTTGATTCAAAGTGTTTCCTTGAGAAAGCCTCTCTGCGGTTGGATATTTGCAGTAGTTTTTCTGAACAAGGTTGCACCAAGGAAAGGAAATCCAATCTTTTTTTTTTTTTTTTTACCCATCTCACCCACAATCACAGATTCCAAATTTCTTCAGACTGTTTAGTGGGAAGAGCTTGGGCTTTCGAGCCCTGCTCTGTAATCCTGGGTTCAAATCCAGCTCTGCTGGATGAACTCAGCAATAAAATGGGAATGAAATTACCCAGCTAATAGGATTAATTAAGAGAGTGTATATTAAACCCGTGGCAGTCAGAAGGTATTCATAAAGTCCTTTCAGGGCAGGGCTGTGCTTTATTTTTTCTGAACTCTCTACTTCCAGTGGGGTGGTGGCTTGTGTATGTTTGCTGAACTGAAAGTAGCCTAATCTGAAGGAATCTTTTTCCTTGACCAAAAAAAAAAAAAAAACAGGTACATGAGCTATGTCTCTTTGCAAAGAAAAGGTTAAGATGATGAACTTCAGAAAAATTTGCTCTTTGCTCACTGTTAACAGGCAGTCGACAGGCCAGTCACAGATGTTTAAAGAGAGCAAGGTGATCACAGTGTTCTGGGTTGTTCAGCACCAACCAGATCCTTTTAGGAAAGTTCAAATTCCATACACCTCTAAAAATTTCAGAAGTGGGCGCGGCTACTGCGGGATGATACATCGAGCCTGTTGTTTTGGGGAGCATTTAACAAAGCACAGATGGTGGCACTTTTGCCCTAACTTTTCCTTTGAGTGAGAGCTTTAGCATGAGTGTAGATTTAGAATAGAGACGACTATCAACAGGGGGCCAGTCTGAGGATTACAATCCTTGGTTTACCGTCAACTTGTTTTTGTAAATAACTTCATCTTCATGATCTGTAGACTCCTCCCCTGTGAAAGAGAACTGAAGAAATCACCTACTTTAGAGAGTTGGAGGGAGTAATAAACGTGACTGCAGAGTGATTTGCAAAGCTAAGTGTTAAATGATAAGACATATCAAAAATAGAGTTATTCTGACACACAAGGCCTCTTTCATCCTAGGATCTCAGTAGGTAGAGAGATGTCCTCTTTATTTATTTTAAATCCTCACCTGAGGACATGCTGGGAGAGAGAGAGAGAGAAACATCGATGTGAGAGAGAGACATTGATGTGCTGCCTCACGCAGGCGCCCTGACTGGGACTCGAACCCCAGCCTTTCCGCGCACAGGACAACACTCAACCGACTGAGCCACTCGGGCTGGGCAGATGTCCGCTTTTTTACTTCTGCACTGATGACGTATTGCTATTACTAGCAAGCGTTCAGGCGGACCAGCTGAGTGTCAGTCAGCCCAGAGGACAAGATTTAGGTATTTTGATTTTTAGGCAGGTGTTCTTCAGATGCTAAACTGCAGCAGGAGAAATTTAAAAACCTATTTCTTGGTACAAATCTTAAATCTTTTCAGAGTCTGGCAGTGACGCCTTCTTCACTTGTTTTAATCTGTTATTGTGTTTTGCCGAGGTACCGGCAAACACACCCTTCCAAACCTTTGAGTGTAACACACCCAAACCTTTGAGTGTAACACACCCACCCAAACCTTTGAGTGTAACACACCCACCCAAACTTTTGAGTGTAACACACCCTTCCAAACTTTTGAGTGTTCCTGTATTTGGCTTGTGGCCAGTGGTTAATTTAAACATCACTGGTTTCCTAAGGCAAGGAGCCGTCAACCCATCCGTCGGGTTGTCTAAACAGCTACCCAAGACCACCTTGCTGCTGGTTTTCTTCTGCTCTGCAGTGTGAGGTGACACCCTGGTTTTGCTGCCTGCTAGATAATTTCACAGCTGCATTCATCTCTTGCTTTTAAAAAATATCACAAAGAGCAATTGTGTTTCTTTTTTCAGATGGACATGAAACTATTTCCCTTGTTCTTTCTATATTATTATTCTTTTTTGGGGGGTGGGAAAGGGGGAGGAAGGAGAGTGATTATTTCCAGCCTCTTTTTTTTTGTTTGTTTCCCAACGTTTTGATTTTTAAAACTACTCACCCCCCCCCTCGTCTTCTGCACCACTTTCACTCTCCCGCCCCTTCTGTAGTCTTCTCGTGGCGTGGAGGGGTAGCTTCTGGGTCGCCTGAGTTGTAGCCGCTGATTTTGGGACCTTTAGAAATGTTTAAATTCAGTGGGATATGTTTGGATGCTTCAGAGAAGCCTTGCAAGACATTTTAAAAATATCACACCCACAGAAATTTTATTTTGCCCACAAAATTTGCATCAATCTAGTTCCCAGTCTCAGATGCCATCCCTCGGCCTTTTTATCCTGCCCACTGTCACAGAACAAAGCCCCGTGTCCTGGCGCCGTAGAAATCAGCTGGCGTGGTTGTTGGACTCCAGGCCCAGGGATTCCGATACACTGCGTCTGAGCATCAGTGTTGTTCAAGGTTGACAGGTGATTCTAATACAGCAGCTTGGCTGGAACCCACTGGTAGTTCATGACTCTGCCTTCGGGTCTGTGTGTCGGGTTGTTGCTAATTTTAATAATGTCGGGTTGTTGCTGATTTTAATAATTCTCGAGTGAACCTAACCTTAGCCAGCCATTCCAGTGTTTAACCCTCTGTTTGACATACAAGCAATCGAGCGTAAGGCCGCCTCTTCTTGTTGACCTGGGCACGGTGGGGCCCCCTCGTCTCTTCAGAAGGGCTTTATGAATTTGAGTGATATTATTATAAGGTCCCCACCCCTTTTTCTTCTCGGTCATCTCTTTTCCTTCAAGTTTTATTCGTTTATATCCTATTGGACCTTCTACGTATTTGCCCTTAATGGTTTTAGAGTAAAAAACTCTAAGCCATGATTTAGATGAGAATATGAGAGATTTTACATTATACAGATAGTGTGTTTACGCTCCTCATTTCTTGATATTTCTACCTGGATGTCACAGCTTAAACCTTCCATGTCCCTGCCACCCTTTCCCAGTTCTCCCCCTCCTCGCTCCTTCCCTTTCTCAGCCGATGACTTGAAGTCAAAGGGTTTACTTCCACGTTTCCCTCCCCGTGCATGTGTTTTATACATAACCCGTATGTATCATATTTTGGGAAGATCACCGGGCCGGGCACCAGATGACAGAATTCTGCCCCAGGTCTGGTGTTAATTCGTCTTGCAGCCTTGTGGGAGGGGGGCTGTGTCGGTCTTGCATCTGCTCAGGTACTTTGTCCATAGTCACTGAGCCAATCGCAGCGTTGAGACTAGAACCCTTCTCTTCTGGCCCTCAGTCCGGTGCCTCGTTTACTCTCCACACCACTTGCAGCTCTTGTACCAGTGAGCTCACGTGCACGGAGCCACTCAGGACGCCCTCCAGTGCGTATTGTCAATGTGTGCTTCTTGAGGAGGAAAGCTTATCCTTTCATTTGTGTGTGTCCTAATTCTCCCACCCCTACCCTAGCACAGAGCCTTGGCCTCTGCAGGGCTGTCAATAAATGTTTGTTCAGCTGAACAACTACGTCTAGTTATTTTCTTATTTTGCACTATGATGGTACTCCAAGTTAAAAAAAAAAAAAATGTAGTATTTGCAAGAGTCATCGCTTACACGTGGGGAAAAACCAAATTTTTCCCTTCCCCAGATATTTTATTTAAACTTGCTATTTTGAATTTCTCTCTCTCTCTCTCTCTGTTTCCTTCTCTCTCTCTTTTTTGGATCACTTCTGCAATTCATAAAGGTCACTTTGACTTTGGAATTTAGCCTCAAAGGCACTGGCATCCACCCCCTGCCTCTCGGTTGAGTTGCTTCTACTGCTTCCTGTATTACTGTGTTCCTGGGCCAGAAATTTCTATTCTTTTGTTCAGAGTTTTTATACTTCATTGTAATTTGATCATTTTAGGGAACTATTGGAACCATATTTTTAAATTCTTAAAATTAGAATTAACTCCGT